AACAAGCTCAATACGTAATACAATGGAAGAAATGTATGACAAACTTTTGTTGGTTGACTTACCAATTGTTGTAGATGGATTTAGACCACCAATGAATAACTTCCTAGAGAACAGAGATGAGATATAGTTGAGCGGATTAAAGGTGAAATGGGAGTTCCAGTTACAAATAATAGTGCAGATGGAGTGCAGATCTAACGCTTTTCAAAAGACTCGATGCCGCAAATACATTTTTTGCCGAAAACGTGGACTACTGACATTTTGGTGCAAGGAGACATTTAGAGAGGAAATTCTTTTTAGACTTATACTTTTCCGTAGCTTATAAACCAATTGATATTTGAGATATGCTTTGGGATTTATTTTGCGTATTGCTCAAGGACTATATAGAATCTAATCTCCGACGGTTTTGCATGATTTGTAAGGCTTAAGGTGAAACAGAGTTGAGTGAGTAAAATGACTGCATCTATTCGAAGAAAAAGAGTTTAAGAGAAACTCAATGCAAACGAGTAGAATATTTATTTTACGCCATATTTGAATTGCATATACCCCAATATATAATCAGATTTTAATTCGTATTTCAAAATGTCCAAGGCGTTCGTCGGCACTCGCAAAATTCCGTGGTTAAAGCGTGATCCAAGAATGTGTCATGTTTTGGAACGGATAACAATAGTGGGCTGAGGTTAATTAACAATCTGGCCGCCTGAGTTTTATTAGGTTTTAGTCTCTTACTTCACCATGCTTCGCAATTTGGACATGAAGCGAAACTGACCGTGTGTACAAACACAGAATTAACGTTTCAGGCTGAACGAAAATAGAATACATTATGGTTGCGCAGGTAGGAATCTGGACAGTTTTCTATATGGGGCTAAATGTCCGAAAGGCTCAAAAGTTCGCTTGTTTCGCAATTAAAAAAACAAATGAAATGATAGATGCGGGAATTAAGGCCGTTTTTTCCATGCGCAGCGTCATGTCTATGTCCGCAACTTTATATTCGTAAATATTCCGTCAGGATCCGTCTCGAGTGATGTAACATGGATGTGCTATTTAAAGGAACGACTTTTTTTAAAATGACCAAACGCAAATTCTTTAACATAAATTTCACAAGACAGTTTTCGATAATATATATTCGAGAATACTAGCTACAAACCGCAGAGGCAAAATAAAGTGCCGGTAATAAGCCCTCACTAACATCGATGAGTTGATGTCACTACGTCAGCTGTTAGTTAAAAACTTTAAAAAAAGTCAGTTCCAGTTGAAAGTACTCATCTGATTCAGAGAAAACGCTGACTTTAATATAAAATTGTGCAAAACCTTTTCCGGTTTAAACTGATGAGCCGTTATTGGAGACTTTTATTAAGTGAGTACCGAGTGCACAAATTTGGCACCGAAGCAAGAGACATCTAAAATTACTTTTGAATCGTACATCGTGAGTTGCATTCCCCGAACATGTGCCAATTCCCTTTAGCTGTTGATTGACGACAAAATCTACTTTTGAGGATTTTATTTGTTTCATTTAATTTTACCTTCTATTACCCACGAAGCCGTGGTGCATTACAGTTCAGAAAATCTAAAAAAAAACTATATGCCGTTTCAATAAACGAATAATCTAATATCTGAACATCCTTCCATCGAGTACAAACCTGAAATTAAAGTTAGTAGATTGCTTAACTTAGAAGCATCAAAAGCTAATTCTGCCGATGTCGGCACAGTCATTATGATGTACTACATTAAACATCTTCAATTCAAAAACTAACACTGTGAGGTGGTCAGAATAATCATTCGTTTTTAAGAGTTTTTCATAGCTCGTGGGAAAACAAGCAAAAGGTATCGCGCGATATTTGTACCCGATCTCTAACGGTAAAAGCCTTGAAGACTGTAAAACCTTTTGCGTGGCATTCTCAGGTGCAGCCTCGTACTGGCAATCTTGCCAACTTGTTTGACTCTACCTTTCTACATTAATTTATGTCCCTGATCAAGTGAGATTTGACGCAACAATTTGATTATTCTGTTGATCATATTTATCTCTGTTAAGTTAGATGTCAAAACATTTAGTTAGCCCTGATTCTTTCATGTTTCTATGCACTAGACAACTTTGAGAATGATTATTTTGCTACAAAATGAGCTTATCTTAAAAAATGAAAGCATTTTGATTTAGCTTTGCCTTAACACGGATGATCCTCAACAGTATCATTCAGAAGAAAGGAAGTTCAAGCATTTTGGGCTACAAGCAATTTATTGTGCCATTGTAGATACAAGTTTTATACTCTATATGACTGTATAAGTTGTTTCGAGTGAACCTGTTCCTCACACGATCAAGCCAGGAAATCATTTATAAAATTAGGCAATAAACGTGGCCGCTAAGAGCAATATTGTCCTATCAATAATGTGACTCTGTGTTCGGAGAACACGTTTTTCTCAGTTACGAGAATTAACTGAAAGAATATTGCACGTTATTAAAGTTGTTTTTCTTGCACATCTGTTTCGGTCCCCACGTTAACTGCATAAACATGTTTCACTCGAATCACATCCATGACCAAGGAAGCGAATTTTCCATAGTTAGGTCAACTGAATTATTCAGATCTGCTAGACTCCCCTAATAATTCAGTGAACCTAGTAGTCAGTTCGGTATATTCTAGATAATTTCTTAGGAAATCCTGCCTGGACAGTGAGCTTGCTGTTCCGTAATGGTGGATTTCGTACGAGCAGTAGGCTAAGTGGATAAATCGACCCAAGTGTAATTAAATTCAACACTTCGGCGTGCCTTCATAGCACAATTAGTACAGCGTTGGTTGTACAAAATCCTTATCCATAACTCACATCCTATTTATGAGATTAATAAAATATAATTAAAACTGCATTCCTATCGGAGCATATCACGTTAAGCGGCCGTAAGCTGATATCATACGCGTGTTGAGATCTCGAAGTGATCTCCAGTAAACAATTGTTCAACTAGAGATGTAGTAGGCCACTTCCGAAAGAATAACGTTAAGTTATCTGCCCTTTTTAGAAAAATACAGTAAATATTTTCATTAAGCTTCACATTGAACTGTAAGTAAAAACTACACACGGTTTGAATATCATTGCAAAAGTCTAAGGCAGTCAAAAAGCCAGCTTATATGCTCTTTATATAAGAGCGTATAAGCTGGCTTTTCGCAAAATATAAATACATAGCCATTTTTAACTCTCTGATGAACAGAATAATTAATTTATTAT